GAGAAAAATGGATCAAAATAGAAGGTAACAAAGTACAGAAGGTCCACCCCGCTGCCTGGCAGGCAGTGCTGCAATGCCCAGCGCAGGGACAGGGTGCGTGCAGGGTGCACCGGTCGCACTCTGGGTGCATCCTAGATATGCGTTAGGATGTTGCTTTAAAATATCCTTGTCACGGGTGTCTATGGAGAAAAATCTGATCTCCCAACTTCAAGCTAGGCAGCTGCCAACCTCCCAACCGGCAAGGCTGAAAACTCACAGAAGGAATTTTGCTTGAAAGCCTTTGCGCGGGGTGGCTGCTGGTTAGCGAGTACCGAGCGCCTTTTGTGCCCAGCCCAGCATGATGGTGGTTCTCTACTCAAGCAGAATGGAAGATTAATCAGAAGTTAAAAATTACTATCCAAAAGATATTCTGTGTCATAAATATCCAGACTCACAGCAGTGCATTCAGCAGCATGTCCGAACCTCCTTCCTCTTCGTGAGAGGAACTGAAACTGCTTCTCAAATAAGAACAAGACTTTTGTTTTGTTTTGTTGCAAAGAAAAATCAACTGATGATAGCAGACATTAAAAAAACAACCTCGCTTAATTATAATCTTTCTGGAGCAACCACGATGGCTTCAGATTATTTTACATAACTGTGTTAAATCCCCTCCTGAGAATTATTTGCCTCCTACACTCCAGGGTGCCTGAGCTTAAAAGATGGCCAGTTATTTAACAGGCTTGTGAGTAGCTTAAAAATGTACCAGCACTTGCTGCAAAAGAACAATTACAAGTGGGTTTACTTTGTTATCTTTGGCCCCTCTACGATGGGCAGGAGATTGTTCTCTGATGGTGCATTTTATTTTGAAATGTGTATTGCACCTGTCCTGCTGTATATTCAAATTATAATGAACTTAAAGTAAGTATATATATGGCCAAGGTTTGGAGTCTCTGTGCAAGCAGTATTTGCAGTAGCAGCCTTGCAAAACTTTACTAGTCAGCTTGCACAAAGACAGCATTTTTCATTTCTATAATTTGGAAAAGGAAGGAACATCTTTATTTCCTGCATCCCCTTCCTAGAAGAGGAGAAGCAATCTGACTAACGAATAGCCCAATATTTTTGTTAGGACTTAGAAATGCAACTGGAAAAGGAAGAGTTGGCAAGATTCAGCCCCAGCTGTGCTGTGGTCTTTCCTTCACTGTTTACATTTATTTCTTTTGATTTTTAGTGTTTGAGTTATATTTCTAATCATCATTCTCTATGCTTACCTAACATAAGTTATGAAGATAGATAACAAAGTGAGGGGAGAACTGAATTTTTGTTCATGGACTTTTAAGCCCAATAACTTTCAAAAGAGTTTACATGCAGACTACTGGAAGCAGCACCTTTGTACCACCTGAGTATCCTTCACCAGAGGACAAGCCTTCTGCCTGGGCTTGAGCAGGCAGAAGGGCAATTTGTGTCTTCTCTTCCTCCTCTGAGCTGTCTTTTCTGAGTAGAAGCAGGTGTTAAGCAGGTAGGTAAATGAAGTAAGCAGTGTGTGGCCTTTAGCATGGCCCAGGTATTATCTTCACTGCCACAGAGACAACAACGAGAACACTGGAAATATCTTAATTTTTCTTTCCCTTTGGTGGCCTGGCAGCAAATTATGTCATCTGTTAGTCAAATTCCCAGTGAGCTATACAGGGACAGGAGTGGCTATGAGCTGCAACCATGAAGATGGAAGAAGTGCAAAGCCAGATGCAACAGCTTTCTCAACTGCTCGTGGTAAAAACCAACCCAAATATCCCACAGAGCCATAAAAGGGAGCTGAAGCCATTCCTGAGCATAACTGCCACCATCAGCACCCTTGAGACTGTGCCTAATGAGGCTGCAGAAGTCTTTTCTGTTATTATTTTTGATGGTTAATTCAGCTGATGGCTGGATGAGTGACATTGCACTCACAGCAGGCAGCCAGCCCTGAGAGCAGCCTTTGGAGGGACACCCAAACTCCCTGCCAGCATCGGCTCCCAGTCCACCCATAGGAACCTTTTAGTTATAACCATGACCTGGGAGAGCTGTAAGGACTGGAGTCATCGCTGCTGGGCTCAGGGTTAAATCTCATCCTGAGGGGTTCAGAGGAAGGTGCCCCTGTGCCTGATAGTTCAAGTCCCTTCTCCTGGCCCACTCTACCCAGTAACCCCTATCCTGCTCTTGAACAGAGGAGCTGTTGTAGGCCAGGGAATGGGAGGAGGAAGCATTTTGTGGAGTCCCTGTCACCCTTTCTTCATGCCCTGGTGCTGGATTTCCTGTGTTTGTGGCAGTACAGAAGGGAAAGTACATCCCTGAGCATGATGTCCATCATTATTGTAACCAGGGACTGATGTGAAACCTTCAGCACTGAAATCAAAACCAAACAAAAGGACCCATAAGCTGGTCACTATGTGAAAAAAACAATAATCTCCTGCAAACTGGCCTGAAAGGAGTATAGAACTGAGCCATCAATTACAAACCATCTGAAAAGGACAGAAGTTCACCATGTCCCAGGCAAGACTAGATTAAATGTCGTCAGCATCCCCATGCTGCAGACAGACCCTAACGCTTAACAAAAGGGAAAGCTGAACCTTGATGCAAACCCAACTGTATGGGAACCTGCAGGGTCATGTCTGCTACCGGTAATCCCTCAGCACTGCAACACTGCGGATCAGCACCGTGCCTCCCTTCACACGCGGCTGAAGCTGTTCAAGAGGATGTGCCAGAACACGGATCTCTAAACTCAGAAGGGAAGGGGTACAAGCAGAGTTCAAGCTGATAGAGAGACTGTGCCACAATGGCAGAGACGAGCTCCAGGGCAAATGGAAGAAGGGACGGAGCCTGAGCAGCCCTGTGGTGGTCAGAGGACCAGACAGCGGCTAAAACACAGCCAGTATTTCATGAAAGCTCTTTGCAGAGCTAGAGATGGCAGCGCTGGGCAGCACATTGTGCTGTCTTGGATGAATGGATCAGTGGCATGGAGGGACCGAGCAACCCTGCACCAGTACCTGTGTCACAATCTCAGACCATGCCAGGGTTCAGTCCCCACATGTCTCTGCATCCCAACACATCCCGTATACTACAGGCTGTGTCCAGCTCTGGGCCCCCGTCTTGTCCAGCCTCTTGAGGCTGTGGGGGAGGAAAGAGGAACTCTCCTCTCTCTCTCTCTTTCTCTGCATATGTAAAAATGTTCTTCTGAAATAATGTAAGCAAACTTATCTAGAAACAAGAAACTTGAGTCAGCTTTCCGAGAACACTTTGCAGAGCAATTGATTTTGTGTTTGTGAGGTTGTAAATTTGGGCTTCATGACTTCAGTGGAACTATTTTGAATTTGCCTCATTTAATGAAGCTGGCCATTTTTGAATACAAATAGAAAATACAACAATTGATATTAAATACCTTCAATCCTATTTTAATGAGCTCTCTATTTCAGAGCTGGGATAAATACCTTCACTTTCTGCTATTAGTATAAAAGCTACATGACTACCCAGTATTATTATATGGCAGAACTGACAGGAAGCTACAAACCTCATCTTAATTGCTAGAAAGAGTACCTAGTTGATGAGCTTATCTTATTCACCCTCTGGGTTTGCCACTTACTCAGTTCAGAGGAATAAACATACATCATTTACACTTGTAAGTACATTATGTCCTTTCCTCCCTTTAAATAAGTCCCAGTAGGGAGCACTGCAATTGAGCTGCCAAAAAAGAAACTTTGAAAAAAGTCAAAACACACGATTTTAAAGCTTGAGCACATTAAAAATCTACATTTTCACTGTGATAGATCTGTATTTTATAAATCAGGCCTCTAACCAGTTTTTTAAATTACAACGGAGCGTCCCAATTACTACTGGCAGCTCAGCCAGCGGGGAGTGGGGACACAGGTGGGTACTACAGGAGGAGCACTGTGAAGAGCAGTCCCAAGCACCCGCTCCACGCAAGAACAACGTCACTGCCACAGCACCCGAGTCCACCAGGTGCAGGGGGGGGGCCTGCAACCAGGGAAGCAATGAAGCACGCGGGGAAATTTTTACTCTATTCTGTAACATTTCACGAGGAATTCTAGCAGCATTCAAAACAGCAGGTCCACCTCTGAAACTCGCTGCCTTGGTGGGCGAGCAGCATGTGGCCGAGCCAAGATTTGGGTTTGAAATGGAGGAGCTGGTCCATCCCTCAGAGGGCAGGTACAAGCGGCCGGGTTGCCTCCCCCCTTGTCTGCTGTCACCTTGCAGGGCTGGCCCAGGGAAGTCTGCAAAGGGACCCTAACTGGGCACCAGCCCGGATCCAGAGCGTGGTGCTGCCCTGGGCATCTGCTGTCCTGAGCCTGAGAAGATCATTATAACCCAGGACTGCATCCTCTTACCTCCCTGCCCGGCAACAAAGAGAAGGGATACACTCAAGGCACATACTCCATATGCTAATTTAGGTGTTCACCTGTAGGTACCAGAAGTATCTCCATTGACCAGACATTAAAAGTCTGAAATATAGACTCTATAGCAGGTGCTGAAGTTGATCTCTGGTGGCATATAGGCTGTTTAAATAAGTGTCAAGGAGAAAGGACTTCCAAAGGAAATCCTAAGCTTATCTGCAGGTGAACCAAATAATCTTCCCTCTTCCAACAAGCCTGAGATTATTTCCATAGCACGGAAGGAGCATTGTCCTTTCCTCAGCACAATCAAATGCTACACTGGAAAATAAAGTTGAAATGCTCTTGAGCATAAGGTGATCAGTGGACGGTTAGCCTAAGCAAGTGCAATTTCCATTGAAAATAAAAGATATTCAAGGTTTATGTAACTTAAACATTGCTGCTGTTCAATGAACTGTAGAAATTGAAAAGTCAAAAAAAAACCCAAAAACCTGCATCAAGCCATCTGTGCCTCCTGTTTGTTCAGTGTGGGGTAGAGTCTTAACAAAGAAAGATTAATGTGTGGAAATGGAAAGAACCATATATAGAAAAATGCAAATAAGCATCAGGACTGCAGATCCAGAGCAGGGGCCAAATTGTAACCTTGAGACAAATGGATAGGGCAGCTCTTCCACAGTTTGTCAGGAATCAACCTGTGTGTTAGCTAAACCTTTCCAGCTGCAAGCAGAGAACTAAGGAAGGCCAGAGAGGAAGGGAGCATTGTTCTGCACAGAAGAGTTGCACCTCACGGGCTGCAAACACTTCAGGGCTGGGTTACTGAAAATGTTATGAAGGATGCAGAGGTAAGTGTCAGGGAAACAACAGGGAGAGGGAAAACTAGCCCTGCCCAGGGCCTGAGCCTCAAAGAAAGGCAAAAGGGGCAGATGACCCAGAGGTAGCACTTACACACTACAGGGCAGGAGGGTGCTCAGGACAGCCCCTCGCCAGTGGGAAGCTGATAGGTATGTGTGAATCATACCTGCTGCGGATCCAGTCCTCTACACATCATCTATGCGTGGTTATTTGTATTAATCCTCCAAGGCGAACCTCATTATCCAGCCTCAGAGAATCTGTCTTTAGTTTTTCATTGAGCATGTGTAGAAATAACAAAAGAACTTAACTTTCTTACTTGAAAGCTAAAACAAAACTCCATGAAATCCTTTGGTTGTATTTCTCACTGAAAAGTGACAAACCCATTTGCAAATGGCACCACTGCTCAGTATTGTTTGTCCCCTTTCCCAGGGGAGATCTGACCTCAAAAATCCTTGAGAGTTTTGTAGTCGATCAGGATCTGTATTTTCCATGGGAATGCCTTATTTAAAAAGCATCTGAAAGCTGACTCTCAGCTAATCCCCCTTCACAACAAAAAGGCACCTTCTTTCTGTGCTTTCTTTTCTCTACTATTTTTTCTCCTTGCCATTTACTACACTTTCATGTATATCCAAATTTTCTGATTCTTCCCTGTGCCCCTCTCTGAGGTCAGTTCTTAGTAAAAGGGAGAGTAAAGGACGTGGACCACTCAATGCTTTTGTGCTCCTTGGGGAAGAGCAGGTCTCAGAAAAAAAAGAAATGGGTGTGTGAGCCACACACCCCCTCTCCATCACTGAGCGTGTGAGCAGGATGGCAGCTCTGATCTCAGAGTACAGAAATACCAACAGCCCCTGTCTGGAAAAAGTGAATTTTCTTAAATGCTTAGGCAAACCAAAGGCTTTGGAGCTGTTAATAATAGTTTGGGATAGCTGGGAGAAAGCTCACTGTGTATACTAACAAAAATGTGTCTAAGTACTTTGGAGCCGTAAATTTCTATTTTTAGAGAGATGTGGGTAGTTAAGTAACCCCTGGATGATTGTGTCAGAGGAGCAGTGGCAAGTGTCTTGCCTACAGAAAACCCCAAGCCACAAAGGACAGAGAAATTAAATAATTTCCTGCAAGACTGAAGCAGAGTCTTTCAGCTGAGGGAGACCTGAAGCACAATGAAAAATCCAGATGGACAGACAACCGCACAACACAAGGCGAAGCCCAGCCAAGCCTAGGGTAAAAAGCATCAGTGAAATAGCAAAAGAAGGGCACAACCCACTAGCCTAGGACAGGAGGTACAGGAGAGCAGCTCTCCCATCGAAATTGCAGGAGCACTTCAGGTATGCACCATGCAATTATTCCTATTGGGATTCAGCCACAGAACTGGAATTAACGGCCCTTCCTCAGCCAAATCCCACAGAACTGGAATTAACGGCCCTTCCTCAGCCAACAAATCCCACCCCTCAGCCCAGGAAGAGCACGGCTCCAGCAGTCCTGAGCTGCTGCACGTTGGCTCGGCTGCAGCTCCAAAAGCAGAGTGCCCACATGCAGCATCTGAGGCCCCCCCAAAGCTGCTCAGCCTCCCTCGAACCTCTCCCCTGCAACACTGACAGTATTTCAAACCTTGGTATCACGTAACACAGAAGTGAAAAGGGTGAGAGGCAGGAGCAGAAAAGAGAAAGATTTCTGTAGTTTCAGATGGAATATAATTAAAACTAATTTTCATGGCTGTGGAGCTTAGGGAAGAGGCTGTTCAGGGCTTGCTGTGCTCACTCATCTGTAGAGCACACAGGGTTCACTGCTCCGTAGCTACAGGCTTTGGCAAATGTGGGGTCAAGGTGACTAAATGCCCCGACCATGTTCAAAGACTCCTTGAGAATGGCTGATTTGTCCAGTTTTCAGCCGACCTTCCTAACATGGAGCTTCACAAGGGACGATTAAATAGCCATAAGAAACAGGCATGGAGATAGCCTGCTGTGGGCTCTCAAGACTTTTCTATGAGTCTAGTATTTAAAAGGTTAATCACTCCATGTGATGGCCAATAAAGCCTATTCAGGAATTTATTTGCCTTGATCACTTCCTATTCATAAGAACAACAACAAAAAAATACATATTTTGGTGCAATTAAGAGAATGTGGCTAATGTTCAAGCTTGGCTTTGTCTATTTAATTCATCTGGAGTAGTATGGTCGAACATCTGGGGAGTTACAGAGAGGTAAGCAGGCCAAGAGCTGATGAGGATTTGATGGTTTGATCTGTGTCACAGTCCTCTGCCATTTTTAAAAAGCACTGAACATTTTATTAAGGGCATCCAAGAGGGTGCTTGTGGTCCTTCTATGTACAGTACAGGTACTTAATGGCATCTCTGTCCATCATCAGCTCAGACTATTAAACACAAAAAGGAAAAACACAAGAGCAATCTTAGAAGTGTCTGTACGGATGGGTGGATAGCAAACCCAGAGAGGAAGAAAGTGAAATTCTCCAGTTCATTCAAAGGGGAGATTCTCAATCTCTTCTCCTTTGGCATGTTCCAAAATCTGAAACAAAAATATTCAGTGAGGATTTCTTCCTGAAGATATATTCATTATACTCTGATGTAAACTCTGCAAACCACCTCCCACATCACAGACAGCTATTTCAGGCATTAGCTGAGTCCCACTTTGAACACCAGAGAAGAAATAGGTGTAGTGGGGCCACTGACACCTCTGAGCAACGAGGATCACCAGCACCATTACTGTCTCCTGGAGCATCACTCAGCAGCGTCATCTCAGGTACCTGCAGGACCCAGAGTGAGTTTGGGGTTAGCCATGGCATGGTGATGAAGGCAGCAGAGCTGATGTCTGTCTGGGATCTTTGGATCAGGCTCAACTCAGTTTCTTGAAAGAGTTTAGCTACTTCACGTGCAGGGTCATGGGGAGCAGATGGCAGGGGTGGAACAGGACCAGTGAGGAGGTGCAATACAGATAACTAAGGTGCTTGGCATAGAAGCAGCACAGATTTAGTGTGGCCACCATATTCCAGGCAATTTGGGTTCAGTTGTGTCCTCTCCCTCTCTTTCCATCTTCCTCCAAAACCGGTGATGTTTCACAAGAGCCTGGAGGTGTGGGAGATAGAACCTTCTTCTGGATCTGGGTGAGGACCACAGTGGGAGGCTGGCTCTTGGGTGACTGTGGTCTGGGAAGGTCAGTGCCAGGCTCCCAGTCCTACAAAGAAGGGCAGCCATGAATCGTACTTGATCTTCCCAGCGAGGTGGACATAGGTGGCAAAGGAACCAGACAGATTCACTTGGTGACACGTGACTACAAAAATGGGGCTGCCTGGCTGCTGAGAAGCCCCAGTTCCACTCTGCTCAGAGGGGAATCACTCAAACCACAGCTGCAAGTCACAGACATGGGTTCAGCTTGCAGGGAATTTGAATTCTGTGCTTGACCAGCCATTGATAACAATGGTCTTCACTGCTATAAAACTCTCTAAAACACAAACATCTGTGTGCAAACATTAGTGTGGCCTCGTCTTGATGACAGAAAAAGACACACCTCCTTTGACACAGCCCTTGTCAGGGTAGGTGGTAACCATGGAGCCTTTTGTGCTCATTGGGTGTTTCTAGATGACAAAAAAAAAAAACAAAAAAAAAACAAAAAAACCCCTCACCAGGTATAAATGAACAGGAAAGATATATATAATATAAAACCACACCATAATTAATGGAATACAAACATGTCTGTGTCCGAATGAAATTGAAGGAGTAAGTAAAGGTTTTCCTCATTTGCTCCCATTTTTCAAATAATTATTGAAAATAAATATTTGAGGTATTTTTCATGGGAGAGACAGAAAGAGAGGAAACCCATGCACCATTCTTTACAAACTATTATTTTTATATTCCTAAATAGCTGCTGTATTAAGAAGCCAAGAGAACACAAATTTATTTAGTCCCCAAACAAACTCAGTATGAGTAGAACCAGTGCTGGCTGCTCTCCCAAGGGCCTTGCTCTAACACACTTCAGCTTTGATTTGGAAAACCATCTGTAGGGAAAGAAAATGCCACAGCTCCATGTCTGCCTGGCCACTTGCCCACCTACAAACAGCTGGCCATGGTGCTAATGAAGGCAGGAATGGAATTGCAAAAGACACATACCCCCAAAAAAGAGAAAAAATAGAAAAGAAAAAAAACCCAACAACCTGAAACCCTAAAAGTTTATGCACTGGATGCTGAGCTGAGACTCATTTTGCACAGGCCACTGGACAGACATCAGATGGTAAGACATTTTAATTGCTAATGGCCTGGTCTGGATTTCAATGAGTGACACAGAGATAAAGGACTCTATATCCTATTATCAGTCCCCTGAGCAACTGTTACATCTTATTAAGTGTAACTATAGATTCATAGGTCAGAATCCCATACACGGAGAGCAGATGTATCTTCTTTAACTGGAAGCAGAGAATTATGAGGGCCTTCCTTTGGTTTGTGAGTTCCAAAGCAGAACCCTTATATCAGGCTTTGATATTATTACTTTCATGATACAGCTGTTGAAATGACAAAGCTGGGCTGGAGAGCTATTTCTGCAGAAGGGATGAAGAACAGACACAGATTTCTGATCTTTTATGTCGCTTTCCACCCAAAAAAAAGTTTTAGTAAAAAGTACTCAGCGCTGTCATCATTGTTTTGCAGAGAGAGAAATCAAGGCCAAGCACAGCTACGGGTTTTGCATAAGGTCACACAACAAAGCAGTGCAAGGGCAGAAGCAGAAGTGAGCACGTGTGATGTGGCAGCGCTCTCTAACCAACAGACCATCACTTCCTTCGCCAGCCCTGCAACAGGAAGGGGAAAAGCAGAATCAAGCTGCGCAATGACTGCAAGCTCACCAATGACTTGATGCCCAAGAGGAAGACATGGATTTTCATACAGGTCAGCTTCCAGGCCAAGTTAGTATCAGCACAATCCCCTAATAAACAAGGCTGGCAAGAACTAATGTTGGATAATTTGCATTTTAAATGCACGCCTCTCCATAAAGGTTTAGAGCTTTTGCTTCTAAAGAAACACTTGGCCAGATTCTGCAGCAGCGCACATCAGCACAGCACTTCTGAAGGCAAAGCAACAGCGTCTATTTTTATCAGCTAAGAATCTGATCCAGCTCTCTAAGAAAGAAGGGGGCACACAGGGGGGTGAGCCATTCACCTCCTCTTTGTCTCTTGTAATGCTGCTTCCCACACCAAACACTCGGCATCTTGCAGCACTGTGGTCTTCAGATTGAGGCTTAACGTATATTCTCTGGTAGTCACTGAACTGATTGCCAGCAGAGAAGGAACTGTAAGTCAGCAGTGATAACCGAGGCCCTGCTGAGCTGTCACCAGTGGGGAACCTTTGCCACTCTGAGAGGTTGATAGTCTCATAAATAACACGTCTTCTAAGAGATGCTGCAGTTTGACTTGCATTTCATTAAATGTTAAGAAAATGAGCTGATGCCTACGTTGAAATATGGAGACTTGTGGTTTTATTACCTGCATTACCCATCTCGCCCTTCTTTGAGCAACATGTTTTTCCTCCAGTCACAGAAAGTCAGGTATTTTCAAGTTGCGGGCAAGAAGCACGAAGAGGCGTGTGAAAACCATAGGGCTGAGGGTGGCCTTTGCAGGCTGTGTGAACCATTTTTCTGGGTGTGCTGCTGATGCGTTGTGATTAAATGCCATTTTATCTTGGTGAGGAGCATTAAGTGGTGCTGTTATTTCTCTGTCCTGCTACATCTGGTCTGGAAGCAGAAAGCTCTCTGTGATCTCTGTGTTTTAAGAGAGATTTTGCAAGGTGAAATCTTCCTTCAAATCCTGCTCTTTTTTTTTATTATTATTTCTTTAATTTCTTTTAAATGAGTTTTCAGAAGCATTGCAAACTCGATGAGTCACTTGGCTGAATGGCCCACATAGTTTCCTCTTAAGTCAGCTTTGGCAGCGAGCCACTGAACATATTCTGAGGCTTTGCTTCAAGTAACAATTTTATTGGTGAGATTATTCAAATATTTGAAGCCAGGCCACCCATCCCTTGCATACCTCACTCCTTGCACTTAACCAGAGGGAGGAGGACTGCAGGATCAAGCCGTAGAAATCTGGACATGAAGGCAGTGATCAAGAGGAAAGGTTGCCTCCAACACCAAAGGAATTTCCCTTTGGATCTAACGTTATGCACCCAACTGCAAGGCTGGAGCGGTCCAGCTGTGTGCCGCTGGTGTTAATGGTGGCTGGATGTGGCCCCTGGGGTGATCAGGCCCAGAAAGGGCTCGTGCCAGCCCTGTGGATGAAGCAGCTCGTGGGGTGATGGAGCCTGTGGCAGCACCAGGACAAGCGGTTTGCTTCCAGGCTGCTGTCCCCTGGCACACGAGGGACTGTGGGGCCCGATGCTAAGGGCAGGTACAAACCCAGTCAGCTTCGCCTCTGCAATCATAGAAGCATACAATCACGTAGGATGGAAAAGATCTTTATAGTCATCGAGCCCAACCGTAATCCTCCGGCCCCTGTGCTCTCGCTGGGAAGGCAGCTGCAGTTGCGTTCCTTGTATTCCCCATCAGGTTTCCCATCCTCAGCCTGGCACCTTGCTCTCCTTCGGGGATCCGATCCTGCTGGCAGCTGCCCTCGTCCGCACGCCCGGCAGCGCCGACGTGAGCTCTGGCTTTGAGGGGGCTTAGGAGGCTTGGGGGGGTTAGGGGAACCAGTTTTGGACGAAGGAGTGCAAGCATCTGGAGGGTGTTTCAAACAGATCAGAGCCTGAATCAAAACTCCTTTGTTCCACAATTCAGTGTTCTGAGCATTTTTCAGATATCCCAAGGGATCATCTCTAACACAACCCTGGATTTGGGAGAAAATTCTCCTAGTACTGAATCCTGGGTGACCCCATGTCTCTGCACTTTCCAGTGAGTTTATAAAGTTTTTTGACTTCAAGCTAATAATTTAAAAAGAAGGACAGTCTTTTTTTCTAGCAACTGGATTCCAATTAGCTTTACTTTTCGATTCAGAAAAGGAAGCCACCATATAGCAAGCATCCTGCAAACTGATAATCTGATGCAAGTACAGAAGGCCAAGTTCAGTCAAACACATCTTGCTGTTTTTAAGCACCACTTGCATTAATTTTAGACTCATTTTAGCATGGCAGGTCACAGCAGTATAAACATTGTGGGGAAAAAAAAAAGGCTGAGCTGGCAAACAGTCAGAACTTGCTGTTCCTGACCCAGTAACCTACTTTTTGGGCACCACGTAACATGAAAGCCACCCCTAGCTCAGCCTACGACGTCACCTCTTACTTCACTTCTTAGAGGCGAGTAGCGGGTCTGGCTGGGAAGAGTTAGATGAGATGTGGTCATCATTTACTTCATTCTGGCCACAAAAACCATTTTAGGTTAGACAGGAATACAGAGAGTGGTTTCTAACCTCGAGTCATTGAAAGCCACGGTCTGAACATGCACACTCCACACAGCAGAGCCTGGACCTGGGAGTCTGTCATGCCGACACATGCAGCAACCTCAAATTTTGTCTACATCACCAGTGCTGCCATCAACATCACGGCCATGGGTAAAGAAGCTGTCGAAGGGAACACTTCACAAAGGAGACCTTTTTTACTGCCATAGTGCTGCTTTAGCTATTTTCACTCCAGCTCCCTCATCCTGACCTGACGCAGTATTCAGAGACCACATAGCTCAGACTTTAAAGGCAGGGAACATTTGAGGAGCTCTGTGAGCAGCAAAAGCTTCTCTCTTGCGATAGCTCTCCATGCCTGTTCTCCCTTCAACAGGGCAACAGCAACAGAAGAGGTGGAAATTAAATGACTTTTGGTTGAACATTCCAGCTACATGCAAAAAGAAGTGGTTGAAATAATCAGAACAAAATGCCTTGAAGTTATTCCACCTTCTAGCTGGCTCTAACTGACCAAGATTTTATTTCTGTTGACACTTTGTTTTCCCTATTGCAGGGCAGGAGGAGACAGGGCACTGCAGTATCTTAAAAATTCTAGCTACATTCTCTTGCATCATCACAAACCATTTTTCCACCATCTCTTTCACCAGCAGTTTTAGATTAATCTAAGATTAAAACATAAGGAAGTATTTCACTCTAGCTGGCATGAGCACAACACAAAAGTAAATGTTCTAATAGACATAAAAAGTCATTTTTCTTTACTACAATGTCTAATTTAGATCTCTGAAATTGTAAAATTAAAATCTATTCTAATCCATACTTATACAAAAATGCATTTCTAGCAGATTATAATATCTAACTGCTTATTACACAAAAATCTTGAAATGACTGTATTGTAAAAAAAATAATTGCCTAATTATGAAATCCTGATGATAAAGACACCATTGTCATGAAAACATCTGGGCTACCAGCCCGCCAGAATGCATGAAATTTCAATAGGCAGAGAAAAATCAGGAGGCAGATGAAAGAAGAGTTATAAAGAGGTCCAGAGAAAAACATCACCCACTGCAATTTCTATATCAAAGTGTGGGTGATGACTACAAACAAACAAGCCAGTAATAACCTATTCACAGTAGCAGGGTAGTAAACATGTATGGAGATATGAGGGATAATTAACAAATATTATGCCTATTCTTGCATAACCTTGGAAAAAATATACATCTATTCTACCTCTCTACAATGACAACCTGGAAAAATATTAATTGTATCTGGATGTTAAAAGACCATTTAGCAATCTGATGCCTTAGAATAACAGAGTTATCAGTTTGAACAGAGCAACAACTAGTAGCATTTCTGTAGCATTTAACTCACATTAAACATCATTTAAATGATACCTGAACAAAACAGGAACAGGAATAGCAATGAAGGAGGGGGAACGTTCAGTTACACGCAAACAGGAGAAGCACTGAGAAAAGTAAGAGAAGTTTGACTGTTGTGTTCAGTTCAGCCCAACAGGGCTAATGACCAACAAGAAATCTGGTCCTCGTTGTTAAGCCTGTTGTAAATGTTATGTTAATAGTGAAGTTAGTGGCTATGCATATTTTAGCCGCTTATGAAATGATGAAAGCTTTTATTGGAAAATGTGGAGTACGGCAATATTGTTATCCCAGACATGACACACTACACCAAAAGGACCTGAGGAAGCACAAGAACACCTGCAGTAGACTGGGGATGTGGTCTAGGGAGAACAGACCTTGCCTGTAAGCCAGGATATGATTATGTTGGCAGGATATCTGCCAAAGCAGGGCTTTTCTCCTTTTCCACCTAAGCCCATGCCCTGAAGATGCATACACCTATAGCTGTCCCTGAGCATGCAGGCGATTCCAGGGAAGCTAATGAGGACTCATTGTTCAGCTGGTTAAAAGTTAAATGCGTGAAAGTATTCACCGGTCTGACAGTGCCAGTAAGGCTTGATTTCTTATCTCTAACTAGAGCTCCCACCACTGGTAGTGACTTTTCACCATGGATCAGCCTGAACCTTGGACTCAGCAATGGAAACCTCACGTATAAACTTCAAGGCCTCAGAACCAGACTTTATGGGTGACACATCAGAAGATGATATATCACTGATAAGATGCAACTCTTTTTTACAGGGGTGATTACAATGCAGATGGCATCAAAAGCACAGTAGCCTTCTCACATGGTTGCCACCTGTGATTGTCTGCTAAAGGTTATATCAGGGCTCCTATTACAAAATGTTGCCGGCTGAGATTTATAGTTCAGTGGACAGCCAAGTTCTCAGCCACAAAATCCTTCCAAATGAAAATGGTTCAGTGGTATGTATTCTGCTCATGTTGGATATTTTTGACCACTGGCATGATAAAACCCACAAAGCAGTGTCAGCCTGTGCATCTGATAAGTTTTCCATAAATGGCTCTGCACAACAGCCAAACTCATGGAGTCGATCATCTCCTTTGGTCTCGGGTCTGCCTGCTTGTTTGCCTGGTGTTCAGATGTTAGGATGAAACTCATGCCCCATGTAAAGGCTCACCACAAGATTTGTACAGCACTTAAGTCTTCCCTAAGCCTGATATTTGGGTTTACAGGGGATTTAACAAGTATGTGCACTGTGGAATAGTCTGCAGGGTACTGGTGAATTGAGTCACGTGCACTAGGAAAAGCTTTCATGTCTTCTGAAGAAGTGTTACTCTTCTGCCAAGTAAATAAAGATGCGCCTGCTATTTACTTTCCAGCACATATTGCAAAGCTCATGTTAATTAAACTTCTAAAACACACAACAGAATAAATCTGTATTGATGTAATGCCAACAAGTTGTATATGAACTCTCCTCCATGCATTTAGTAAACATTTGCTTGGAAGAAAATAACTTGTGCTGTTCTGGACAAATGACAAGCCAGTTAGGGCACTGGAGCCAAGAGCCTCCTTTCTGCTCTCACTCAGAGCTGAAAATGCAGGATCCCCTGAGTTGACTTACACAGAGTTAAAACGTCAGGCAAACACATCAGAAAGGAGACAGCCAGGATAAACCTCACAGGCCTGATGCCAGGCTCACCGTTAGAGTGACCACTGGTAGCTCCGTGGCACCAGAGAATCTCAGTACAACATCAAAGACCTCAGGTTTTACCCTGGGTGGTTTAAAGTTTGTAGCATAGGGGTATGTCAGTGGTTGAAAGAATGGCTCAAATCCAAAACCGTCCTCAAAGCTCAACATGCATTACATTAAAAAGTCTAATTTTTTTTAGAGAAGCCAGCCCCTTTAAAGACTACTATAGCTCTCAAAATCCAAGCACT